AAGACTGCTTTGAATTTTAGTTCTATCTTGTAGGATACTAGCTACCTGGCCAGTTTTCAGACATCTGCAACTCTGATAAGAATTCCTAATCCTCTTTATCCAAATCATTAATGTAAATGCGGAAGAATACAGGACACATAACTTTGATGAAGAACCACTGATAAGAATTCTTGAATATGATTTTCAAATAAGTTATCAGTCCGTTTAATTGTTAGGCCATGTAGTCCACACCTAATTAGCTTGCTAATCAGGTTGGCATCGGATATCTTATTAAATACTTTGCTAAAATGAGGATGTGTACAATATTCCTGTAATTTGCTAAGGAAGTTATCCAATCAGATCATGGGATAAGGTTTTTCTGGCAATATTTGTTCTTTAGTAGTCTATGCTGCATTTTGATTATAACCATATTGTTTTTACAATACTTACAAATTTATCAATTCTTCCATAATCTTTCTGACCAACCTGTATCTCTGGATCCCCCTTTCCCCCCTTGTGTTAATCGGGACATTTATCCTTCTCCAGTCATCTTCATCTGTTTTCCAAGATGTAAAGATTCAGCCAAACCATAAGCAATCTATCTGTCCCTGGAGAGGCAATTTATCTGGCCCTGAAGAGGCAATTTATCGGGCCCTAATGATTTAACTTATTAAAAACAATATTCTCTGACTATGTTTTCTATCAGTCTCAAGATGCAGTCTTGTCTCTTCCTGCTGTTCACAGTTATCTGTTGGACTACATGCCCTCTTTTCAAGACTGAACCCAAACAAGAGTTAAGTAAGTAGCTGTGCTTTTACTCTGTTAATCAATCCCTTTATTCTGAACACATCTAAAGAACTTTTTGTTGTTCTTGTCCTTTGCGAACCTCAGCTCATTCTATCTATTCTGCAATTTGCTTTTGGAAAGAATGACCACATCTTCTCCTTGGCTGGGGATAACAGCCTCTGACAGCAGTATTATTTTTATTGTTTTTTCCACTTAACCCAAATGCTATCTACTATATCACCAAGTTCATTCACTTTTAGCATATGTGCGAATCCTCTTACTTTTCTATTTGCTTCTGTTCCTTTTGAATAAACTGTATTCTTCAGTTGCTATATTCCAGTCATGGGAGTCATACCACCAGATCTCCATTATACCTATTAAATCATATTTACCTTCCTATTGAAATTCATGTGGTTTACTTCTAACCTTCAGAATATAGAAAATGAAGGTCATGAATTTTAAGAGCCAATGTTCTTTTGAATTTTTCAGTGATTCATCTAAAAGACTCAAGTATATCAACATTCTCACTTCTTTTTATACTATACTATTCTTTATCTGAGGTCCTTACTTCAGGTGTTTTGTCTAAGCTCCAATTAAAATTCAGCCAGATTCATTTTTGCTGCTCCTTGTGAAATGCAGTCCTTCATCCTATCTGGATGAAGTTCTAGCAGTCCTTTGTCCAGATAATTCAGATCATGTTCCCAGAAAGCAATTTCTCCTATTGATACCATTTGTATGGCCAGTCATTCACCTTCAGTATTTTCTTTCTTTTTCCATTCCACTTCTCTAAATTACAGAGATGGATGGGAAGACCATTTGCATCCTCAGTACTTGGGCTTCTTCTCAAAGTGGTATGGTTGTAGCTACACTTCATGGTATCATTATCCCAACATGGATTAGCAAGAATGAATAAGAATTTGATCACAATCCTGTCTATGCTCCTAGCATACAGGACACTTCACAAATTGTTGGGTCAAGTAGGAACCCATTTGTTTCTGTGCTATGTGGGTACTGAATCACCAATTGCCTCTACTCTTCTGTCTTCTTGCGGGGAGCAACTGCATCCCCTCTGCCCTCCAGGGTTCATCTTCTTGTATCTTGTTTAGCAATGTCTGTTTTCCTTCTTCTGAAGGTTTAGAGACTGATTATTTGTCCTGTGAAGGCCTTAAAGTTGTTTCTAAGCTTGAGTAGTATAAACTATATTTTATGTTTCTTATTTCTGATGTTCCCTTTTGTTCAGTGGACTTGTTACTTTGTTTAGTTCTCTTCCTCATGAAGAGTTGCTCATTGTAGCTCCTGCTGTTGTATCTCCTTCACTCAAACTGAGTAAGTTCCATCTTATCTCATGGGATATTCAATGCTCTACTTCTCTGACTTTTTATTCAAGTGCCAGGACAAATATGCATTTACTGCAAATATATGCCAGATTCTTAAAGCAGGAATAGAAATATGTCCAAGCATTGCAGATCACAACTCAGAGTCCTATCCATTCATCTTCACTTCTACTGTAATTTTTATGGTATCACAAATAGGAAAGTTATCCTTTTTCCTGTTCTTTTAGGCTCTCAAGTTAATCTACCTTCTCAACTCGCGAGTTGAAAGGGAACTTTCCAATCTCTTATTAGCTCCCTCTGTTTGTTTGCTTAATCAGCTGTGCTTCTTGGAAACTAGCAATTTATATTGTTCCTTATAGGCTTGCAGCAGCCTCTGCTTACTCAGCAGGAAACAGTGACTCTGTCTCCCATAATGTGCAATCAGCAGCTCTTCAGACACACACCTTGCAATTAGCAACTATTCAGGAAGTGACCATTACACCTCACAATCCTTTAAAACACACAGCTTTGCTAGTCATTCTCCTTTTCCTTATCTCTTGCTTTTGTTGAGCTGTACTGCCAAACTCCTATTAACTTTTCCCTGTTTATTCACTCAGCTGCAGTCAATCCTACCCTAGAAATACATGGAATTGAACAGAGAGAATGACAATTTAAGTATAAGACAATTTAACCAAAGTGACATCAGCCAAGCAAAATCCCTCTCACATCATTCAACAGTTAGATCCAGGTAGTCCCAATATTGTTAAAAACTATCAAAAGGAAATTTCAGCAATCAGAATGGTCTCACTGCACAATGACATCATGTTATCATGCTATTGATTAGTTTAAATAGGCTGTCAAGAATGTGATGAATTCCATATGATACCATGTTTTGTTTTCTTTCTTCTAATAGTGATTGATGCAGGGTGAGTTCCTAATTTATAGCCATAATTACTTCCTCCAAAACTATGGACCTGGTGACCAGTGATTCAAGTCACAAGGACATAAAAAGACCCCTTCTGTATCAGACCATAGGTCCATTCAGATCAACATTCTGGGTTACACAGTGGCCAATTGGATCCATTTGGGCTGCTCACAAGCCTAGACTGGAGCATAATATTGCTTCCCAGCAACCAGTGTCTAAAGCAGGCAGGCTGTAATTCAGGAGGTAGTAAAACAACAATTAATATTAGTAGCTAGATTGTCCATGAACCTGTCCTATTCTCTTTTAAAAGCATCCAAGTTGGATGCCATTACCATAACTGCTGATATGCACTGTGTGAAAAGTATTTCCTTCCATTGGTCCTGGATCTTCCTACAGTTAATTCAGTGGAGGACCCTGAGTTCCAGCACTATGAAAGAGGGAGGAAAGCTTTCCCCTATTCATTTATCCATGCCTAGTATGATTTTGCACTCTTCTATCATTTCCCCTTTATTCTCCTTTGTACCCCGCTAAAGAACCCTAACTGCTAAAGTCCTTTCTTATAGAGAAGGCTGCTTTAGCATTCTAATCCTTGTAGTTCCTCTTTTTGCACCTTTTCTAGCTAAGTCAAATGTTCCATACCCCTCACCCACCTTCATATATTTAACAGTTCTTCTGCTCTGCTGAATCAGCATGTGATTGCACTTACAATTAGCTGAGTTTTTTAGGATAATTTTAGTTTCAATGGTAAAGCTGGGTCACCCAGCTAATTAGTAGCTCCCTGGAGTGCCATTTAAAGCCTAAGAACCTCAAGGTGTAACAGAAAGGCACATTGGTCAGATGTAGGTGGGTGCGTCCATCTCTAGTCATATCAAATTATGGCTTTTGGGGTTGCATTTTAAAAATGGTTCCATGCCTTTCAATTTAACCTGCACTGTCTGACACAGAGTTACAGTGCTTCCTACAAGTGTAATTTGCAAAGATGAGTTCACCAAGGGGTCCAAAGTACAGAATGTTTCTTCAGATAATCTAATGCCCTATTCTATGTGCCTTCTTCCTCCCCAGCACTGAATTACCTGCTACTGTTCCTAAGTGAGGAGGAGAAAGCAACCCTGCTAGTTTGTGTCTTCCAAACCAAACTGGGTGGTAGCTTTCATAAAGTATTCCAATATTACAAAAAGAGTGATAATGATAATCTCATTGTAGTTGGAAAGCTAACATTGATACCTATTACTCATACAAGATATTTATCCTTTGAAAGTTGTCATTTGTCTTAAAGACCATCTGTCAAATAAGCAGAACACAGCAGCTGTGCACAAGTACTAAACTGGATACCACATAGAAGTATATGTGTATGGTAACTGATTACTTAAGACGTCTGACAATCTGGTCCAACACACAATCACTTCCGTTTAAGTTCCATGCCTTTAATGGCATCTATTTCCAACTGAGCCAAAATATTGACCATTTATCTAGAACAGATCTAGATAAGAGGCTCCATGGCACTGCTGTGTCAATATAGGTAAGCCAAGCATGTGGCACATGGCTGATATTGCAGCTGCTCACAGCTGTGTTGTTTCTTCCAATATCAGTAATAACAAATAAGGTAACAAATGTGGGGAAGGGAAACTGATAACCTCCAGATGTTATTAAACTACCATTTCCAGGAGTCCTGATTCACAGTCCATGATCCCAGATGCTTAGAGACATAGTTTGACAGTTTCTAGAGTGGCACAGATTCCTCACTACTGATAAATACATATAAGACAGTTGACTGACACCACTCAAATTACAATCTGTCGGTACTGTTACTGAAGAAACAGATGCTTTGGCACAAAAGGAGAGCAACTGATGTTTTTGCTTGTTTGTTTGTTCTATTCTCTTCTGTTTTGATTTGTAGATCAAAGTATTGTAATACTTTGATATTATTTCTAAGATCTGCAAACTACCAGCCAACAGGATCAAGCAATTCTCTCAGAATCTTTGTGTCTTTCCCTTACCAGTCAAGTTCTTCAGCCCAAGCCGCCTGAGTCCAAAGCCCCCGTCTTTTTTGTAATTGAGGAAGATAGCCAACGCAGAACGATCCTCATACAGTTTTGTTCCACGAATGATCCGCAGATTCTCCAGAGGAAGGTATTCAAATTGATTCAGAGCTACCAAGACATAGCCTGTGACTTCTCTGATAGACTGCAAAAGATAAACACAAATTTGATTGTATACTAAAGTATTTCCAACTCACCAATTTCCAATTTCCAAGGGGTCTTATACCACATACCAAAATCATTTATTTATTCATTATTTAAAAGTAGATGAAATGTATGAAAGTCCAGCAATAGCTAACTACTCATAAAGTCAACTGTGGAAGGTGGTATTCACTTCATACTTAAAAGCAAGGAAGAAATGTCATTTCAGAGAAGGCTGTGACTCATGTTGTCACCCATATACTTCAGATGATGGGAGGACACAAAGCAGGGCTCCAAATCAAAGGTAGAAGTATGTTTTTAATAAATCATTTTGTATTGCTCACATAATTATAGGTGGCATTACTTTGCACTTTGGTACCACTTCAAGGGAACATCTGCAGAATAATTTCAAGTACAGATATAATGTGCATGAATAATGCACAAAGCACTCATGTGCAACCAGATTTAGATAACTTTATTCCAAAATGAAAAGGTAAGAATTTTTTACTCAAAGCACAGTTAAATTGCTCAATTCTCCACTATCAAATATGCACCCAAATTTGCTTTTAAAGATGCTAGACAATGTCATAGAGCAGGGGCTATAAAATAAATGTTGTGAACCCCCCTCCCCATGAATGAAATTGTTAGATCATACTCTGACAGAGCCCTGTCATAGTGTGATCTGACATATTTTTTTCTTGGGGTGGGAAGGTGGAGAAATCTCACACAAATTCATTCATTATTTGGTATGAAGCAGCCAAGATAGGCTAGTTTCCTTCTGTTCCCAGAGGTAGCTTTTGGAGGCCTACCTGTATCCAGAAGCCCTTTGTGGGAGTCAAGAACAGCAGGACAACCTTCTCTGCTGTCTGGCAGTCACCCTCAAGCAAGTGAACCTACTCACATCAGAACCAGACCCCAAGACAGAAGGCTTGGTGAATCTGGTGCAGGTGCATTAGTAGGCTAGAAGACATAGAGTAGAGCTCTCTCTGGCAACATCTGGCTCAGAGCCCAGGCAATAAGAGCTGTGGGCATCCCTAGGTTCTTTCAACCAGTGGCAGTGATGGGAGACTGGCAAATTCCAGTACAGTCCCAAGGGTCCTTGGGGCACCCAGTAGTACACTCATTCACCTCACAGAACTGTTGCAGATAGGAAAGCGACTAGGGGAAAACAACTGGGATGCTAACAAAGGGCCTTAACTCCTGGGAAAGGAGCAAGAAAGAGCTTTCCCAGAAGAAAACCTTCAACTTCATTGTCTTGGAGCCCAGGGCTCCAACAGCAATGTGCAACTGGTAGAGGCTGCACCAGGAGAACACCCTTCTTCCTACTGCCTTGGCAGAGTGGCATACTACTCTCAGTTGCAACGAGAGACACATTCTCCTGCTGGCCAAATATGCCGGAGATGCTGCTCCTGCTGCTTCATGCCCCTGCCTGCTCCACAAGGAAGACCCAAAAGATATAGACTTCACCATGCCCACTCTGCTGTCCTCCCCTCCACAGCTGTTGGTGGGTGCAGAGTGAGAAAAGATGGGCTGTAGGCTGGACTGCTTACAAGTGCTGCTGGCAGGTGGGCAGCAAAGAGTCGAAGGTGCCTCTGGAGTTGGGAAGGTAGAGACAATAAATGCTGTGGTCACCCTTAGTAATGCAAGTTCCAACAATGATCCAGCTTTGGGTGTACAAGCCTAACTTGCAGATGCATGATTGGACTGTTGCCAGTCTACACTTCCACTGCCTGGACAAACCAACAGCAGCTTGTCCAGGTAGAGTGGGAATGAGTGTGACTCTCCCCTTAAATTTGCTTACAATAACCCAGGAGTTTGCAACCCATAGTTCGAGAACCCCACTCATAGAGAATAGGGCTTTCAATGATTTGATTGGTTAAATCATATTTTAAATACTAGTTGCTATCAAACATCATTAGAAGAACGGTATTACTCTTCCATCCTGCTTGAGAACTTCATGAACTAGACATGCAGTTAGAGCAACAGAGATCTTGTTATTATTTTATGTATTATACCATTCCCTCTTTAAGGGAATACAATTCTGAAATACTTTCTGGGGAATAAATATAATTGGACATGAGGAAACTTATTTCTGAGTAAATATGTATTGGATTTGCTCTCTGGGGATTTTTTAAAATGTTCTTTTGATCATATCACTTACAATCTCTCATTTTCTTTTTACACTCTGGGTTACTACCTTACACACAGTATACTTGTGCTGGACAGAGTGATTGATCCTGACACAAGGTACAGAGTTCCGTGAGCAAGGCAAGTAGAGCAAAACTTACTCTGTATTGACCGGCAGCAGCAAATATCTGGCTCTAAGACAGGTATACAAGCCAATTAGATTATCAGTAAAATGAAGATTCCCAAAATCTGCCTGCCATCAGATAACCCATCCCATTGTGTTTGGCCAACTTACTTTATTGCCGCTACCTTCATATTACATAGAGTCTATGTACGCTTCTTTTATAACCATTGATCAGCTTTATAGTATCTCACAAATGCACTACAATTCTTTGACAACATACTAAAATTCACTGCCATTAAATTAATAATGCAATAGTAAACAAAATAATCATAAACAGGAAATCATTTCTGACACTAAGTAATGAGTAAACACCTGGTGGAAGAGAGATGACTTCACTGACCTCCTGGTAAGATTAACAGAGCTGAGGGTGGTGTTATCAGTAAACGTGTGATTAATACCAGTGCATGAACTGGGATCAACTTATTATCTTTTGCTGATTTTGAATGCTAGTGTCCACCCTGGGACTGGAGATACACAGTTAAATATCAAAGATAAGCAAACCCTGATTAGCTACCAAAAACCTGTTTTGCTCTAATGGTTCTTCCTCACGTACTGCTAATCACAGCATGAAGATGTCTCATTAATTGTTTCTGCGTGTTATATCTTCATAATATCACCTTCATCTCATCCCCAGTCTATCGCAAAGGCAGCATACACTGAAAGTAACTGTTTCAGGTTAAAAAGAGAGTTTTTCCACATCTCCCGGCCAAAATGTTGTTGTATGAACAAGGAACTACATTAGGAACATAGTTGGTGCTTTGTTGCACTGAGGGACGAGGTCCTGCCCAGCCAAAGTGTTCTTGTATGAATGAGTGAGATGCACGCTAGACTCTGCTAAGGGCAGAGCTAAGGGCAACTATTGGTGGCTGCATTTTCCTTCCCTACAGAGTTCCCATTCCCCCTGCTGGGTGAGAAAAGCAACTATTGATCAGCGGGAGCCTAAGAATCAGAGAGTTGGCACTCTTCCTTCATCAGAAGCTATTACAGCCACGTTGCAAGTTTAACAACCGTACTGAAAACAAAATAAATGCTCTTATTAGATTGCCTGCTGTTGATCTACAAAACAGTCCTCCTGCTGCTGCTCCTCCATTCCTCCATTTTTTTAGACTGGTCCAACATTGTTTCACACTAGTGGTGAAACATGTATTAGTAAAAAGGCTGCATAAGATCTCAGATATGTGTGAGAAAATGCCTGTAGAAGCCAGTGAATAAGCAGACACCAAAACAGCCATGGAGGAACAGCACCCGTTAGGGAGAATCTCTTCTGAGCTTATTACCTGCCCAATACCCAGTTGTGGACTACGCTGTCTCTTATCTGACTGCTCCCTAGGCAGTGTCTCTGGGCCCTGTTCCCAAAGTCATCCCCACATACCATTACACCTACAAAAATCTAGCCCTTTCCCCAGATACCCAGAAAGAAATATACTTACAGTAACAGTCATGTAATACTTGAATGAAAATTCCAGGCAGAGCCTGTTCCTCCCCATCAATCATTAAAGAAGAACTGCCAATCATATTAGAAGCTCAGGGGGAGGAGAATACATGACACAAGTGCAGTAGGAAACAAAGAAAACATCAAATAATCACTATGCCAAGTGTATGTATGTATGTATGTATGTATGTATGTATGTATGTATGTATTGAATTTAGAGAGCTGCCCAACTCCATAAGACTCTGGGCAGCATACAACATTAAAAGCAGTAGAAACTAAGATAATAAGAAAAGAACAGAACATTGTATCTTCGCCCCGTACTGTCACTTCCTTTCTAGTATAATATATGAGACTTCAAATCTGATGTGACATTAGAGCCTCACTGGAGGATTCACCACATGAATTATCAGGATCCTGGCTCACGTGTAATCCAGTATGCATACAACTATATACACAAAAGCTTTCTTCCAGAAACCCTTTGAATGATGTCGGTGATTATACAACAGCTAAAAGAAGCTATTGTAATGGGCATAATTTCTTTGGGTAAAGCACAAACTTGCAATGCATCCCTCCCAACCCACCACAGTTGTCAGCACTGTCCCACTACCAGGGAAATTGCACAGCTTCTGACAGTCAGTAGTTCCATGACTCCCAACAACTCATGCACCCATCGCCCTTGCAAAGGAGGCATGGCCAGGCAGGCAGATCCAAGGCTCCAGATGCAGTTCCAGAACTTGCAAATGACACATGCTCTCCTCTGTTGATCTTTGTCTTCAAACCTCCTGTTTCACTCCATGTGTACCAGCATAGCACGTGTTATGTTCTGTGATCTTTTCATGTTCATGTTCTCTCTACCCTGCACTTTTTGCTGCAGATTGTGTCTCCCAACATGGAAAACAATACAGAGTTTATTGCTAGGGCTCCGAAAAAGCCCATTTCTTACCAGTCTTCATTGGAAGCCTTAATCTGAGTAGAAACTTTGGAAATTTATTCCCATCATATTTGATCAGATTTTTCTAGCTTCTGCTTTTCTTCAATTGACAGAATGCAAAACAGAACATTTTTGGGGTCAGAATCTGGTACCAGTTTCTATCTTGGGTCTTTGAAAAAGTATGGATCAGTATCAAGTTATACTTTCCTGGTTTTTGTAAACCTTCCTTTGAATAGGTTGGGGGTAGTAACAGTGATATTATTTGATTTTTTTGGGTTTTTTGTCGTATGTCTAGAAGCATTTTTTTCAAAATCATTTGCGATTGCCAGA